CCATTGCCTATCCAGTACCAACCTTATGTCTATCCAGTTCGACCCATTGCCTATCCAGTACGATCCATTGCCTATCCAGTACGATACAATTGACCGTGATGACACAATAATGCTTTGACTCTGAAACAATTTTGTCCCTAATTCCCCTCCATAGAGCTACGCGGTCAGGACGGTTCGAGTAAGTGGTATTTCGGAACAGAATCTAGTTCCTTCAATACCAATGTATTCTAGTAATATGAATTTTTTCTGTGTTGGTGTAGTGTACTCAGGTGAATATGATATTTGTGGTGTTACTCGAACCGTCCTGACCGCGTAGCTCAGTTGGAAGAGCATTGGGCTAGTATTCCAAAGGTCGTAGGTTCGAATCCCACCGTGGCCGGGCATATTTTTCAAGCTCGCCCGGTGTGGATATGCACTCAGAGTAACACCACAAATATCATATTCACCTGAGTACACTACACCAACACAGAAAAAATTCATATTACTAGAATACATTGGTATTGAAGGAACTAGATTCTGTTCCGAAATACCACTTACTCGAACCGTCCTGACCGCGTAGCTCAGTTGGAAGAGCATTGGGCTAGTATTCCAAAGGTCGTAGGTTCGAATCCCACCGTGGCCGGGCATATTTTTCAAGCTCGCCCGGTGTGGATATGCACTCAGAGTAACACCACAAATATCCTACCACATTTAGGCCGAAAATGTCGCACGCAATACAAAAGTATACAAAATTTGCAAACTTTGCAAGGCTATATTTTCCACATTTTACAACATTTCGCAACCAAATTTTGTAATTTTACTAATTTTAGTATGCTCTTTCTAGCTGTGGTAATTTATTTCCATCTCCTTGCCTAGTTTTAAAATTAGTCTATAATGGGAATTGTCAATTGCCCTCTGGACTCTGGCGGCGGGCCACTGAGCCGGGCACTGAGGCGGGCAGACATCTTTCGGAAATTTCCGGAACGATCGCTTTTTGGAGGATGCGTTTTAAGAAGTATGAACATGAACCTCGAAGCAAAATAACAATACAATAGAGCGATTCAACGTTTGTTGAAACATGGGCTATTTTAAAGTTATTGGATCAATATTGTTTATGTACTTCTTCCTAAATGTCGCAGAAGCTCGCACAGGTATGAACATGAAAAATACTTCAGTACATATTTCGTCAGAGACATGTAAAGCGCTTCCTTAAACTTCACTTTCTTGCGAATTGATCACATGCAATTATCTCAATAAAACGTCGTTTAAAAAACTAAAAAACCTGCCCAGGCAAGTGGTCACAAACCCTCATGTCATCCTTGATTAAGATACTTGAATTCAGTGTATAAAAGTGGCTATATTTTTGGGTAGCTTTGTCTAAGACCAATATCACAATTTTGCCATACGAAATGCATATTTATACCGCATATCAACACTTGACATTGGCCTGAACTTCTGGTATAGTTTTAAGGTCGATCAAGTAGAAAGGATTGTTGTGTAGGAAATCTGGAATTAGATTGTTATCCTGGAGTATGATAGAATACTCCGATTTATAAACTCCCTGAAAAATATTGGAGTGATGGGCCTTCATAGTTTGTTTGAAAACTACAATGTTGTCAAATATGTATTAAAATACCCTGGCGAAGGGCCTTATATTTTTCCGGAAGTTCCTGTTTAATTAATTTATATAGCTCATTTGTTGATGGTAAACTTGCCAATTGAAACTCTTGTCCCCTGTCTATGCTGATATTTTATGCAACAGTCAAGGTAAATTTCTGTCTTTCCAAGAGTGTGCAAGTTTAGGTTATTAAAGGCACAGTTCAGCCTTTTGAATGATGGATTTTAAGCGCATTACAACCCTTTTAATTGAAAAACTAACTTGGAAAATCAATTAAGCACAATTCAAAATTAGTGAACTCAAAGTTTTTAACATTCAAAAAGTTTAAAAAATGTGAAAAACATTGAGATCACTGATCTTGATGTTTTGCTGTTAAGTTTTGTCATTTTGAAAACAATGCTTGTGATGTCATCCAATATTGTTGTTAAGGTGCCATTGTGATGTTGTCAAGGGCAATTCTGCCAACTGTTCAAATTATTGTTCTGTTTTCAAACAATGATTCAACGTTAACCAATCGATCTGTAATATGGAGTCATCTTGTATTTAAATTATTCTCGATTTCAACTTACTTTCACTAAAATGTTCCGTACTTCGCAAATTGTAAACTGAGCATTTGATTGGCTGGTTTGATTTAGTAGCCAATCAGAGGCAGTAGTGTAATGGAACCTCCTCAGGTTGGCGAGTGGGGCGGGGGGAAGAGAAAAAATGTTTTCGAACCATATTCCTTAAAAATAAGGTGTTAAAGAAATTTTCCGGATTATGACAAGTAAAAAAGTCACAAAAAATTTCCCCTATCAGGGATATTTTCAAGCACTTTAGTCTACTACCGTTTTTCAGAAGAAGATTGAGTTTCTTTTGTGGAGGGGAAGACGTCAAAATATTTTGTAGTCAGGGGGCACACATTCCAAAATATTTAGGACGGGTATAAAATAAACGACTTTTATGTGTTTACATGTTGGAAAGGGGAGTTCCTCAAGGCGCCACCATGATTGGCGCTGAGCGGGAAAATTTTGAAACTTTGAAGTCTCTAGATCGTTGGAAATGGCATTTTCAGACTTTAGTTTGGCCTGACATCATCACAATGGCGCCTTGACAGCAATATCGGATATATAGTATTATCACCCCCCCCTTCCTCCCCAATTTCACTCGTTAAACCTTTTTGGCTCGATTTTAAATATGATGTATCCTAATTATGAGGATTTCATGGTTGAAAAAACTTTGTTTTACAGTAACTTTGTCAACCAACGACTGTAACCTGGTTTCAAATTTTCAAATAGTGATTGTAAAAAAGTCAAATTTGCTACAATTATCCAGTTTATCCTGATAGAAGAATGGATAGGGTAAACAAGTCTAGTTAGTCAAGTGCTCTATATATTTTGTAATAAATACTAAATCCAGTGTTGAATTGCTTATGTATGATAATTACAATATGACAATAATGAATTTAGTTTTATTTGACTAGTATTTTTCTTTTTCCAGCTAACTGCACGGCTGTGAAAGGCTGTAATTCATGTCTAAATTATAATGAGACAAAAGTAAGTAAACATTGCTATAATTTTGGAAGTGTTCAGGGCTGCAAATAAATATTTGACTTGACAGGACATTTGTCCGATCACTTTTAATTTTGGTTGGACATAACTTGAATTTGGTCGGACAAAAACTACCATCACTAAATTTGGTCGAAACATATATATACGTCACAGGATATATATAAGTCACGAGACAAGTACGTATGCCATTCCGGCGCAACGTTAAGTAAAATTATGCTAGATCGCCTCATAAATTTTATTGCAAAATGCAAATTGAGTAAATTTGTAATCGGATTTTGTCACGGCAAAAAAAAGTATAATGTGACAATTTTTTTTGTGATCGGACCAATGTCCGATCAAAATTACTTTTGCTCGGACATTTGCCAAATTTAGTCGGACATTGTCCGATGTCCGACAGTAATTTGCAGCCCTGGTGTTATTGAATAACATTACTTATTATATACATGACAAAATTACTGTCATCTGATTGGTTAAGAAGAGTGCAATTCAGGCCTCGAATTTCCCTGAAATCAATCGACGGCAATGGCGTTAAAAATTGCTGTAGAACATAGCAGCTGTCTACGGCAATTTCAGTAGTTTGCACGGGATTTTTCAAATTACTGTAATAAAACTTTAATTTTATTGAAACTTTGGATTTTTGACAAGCTAGAAACATGTCTACGTATTTCTTTAGTGTTTTTTTTCGAAGAAAACTGAGACTAAAATAGCGATTTACGCATGATTTGATCAACATCTGAATTCAAGTATCAAAATAGTAATGCACAGTGAATAGTACAAAAATTGCACTATACGGCAAAAAATTGCTGTGGTTGCCGCAATCATTTCATTAAATACGAGTACAAGAAAATTTGTATTGATAAAGAAGATTTTTACTAACTTTTGAATGTGATGGACGTTACATGTGACGGATGTTACATAATTTAATGATTAATTGTTGTGCATGTGTGTTTTATCAGTTTTTCATACTTGTTCATACATAAAGTAACAAATAAGTTGTACTTCATCAATTCAAAACACTACCCTTGTGGCAGAAATAAACTCTGTTAATTTTTTTGTGACGGATGTTACATGAAATTTGGAATGTCATAGTTAAATTAAATAATTATGATTTAATTATTTTTTAATTAATTAACTACATGTATTTACAGTACAAATGTCATATCTTTATGACTTTAACCCATTAAGTTGCATTGCGCCCTAATCCGTCATTGCGCCCTAATCCGTCATTGCGCCCTAATCCGTCATTGCGCCCTAATCCGTCATTGCGCCCTAATCCGTCATTGTGCCCTATTGAACCCCACTTTATTATTTTACTCAGTCTAATGTGAGACCATTTTACTTGTTAAGGGGAGAGCACTGGCACAAAATGGGTTAATTATTAAAATAAATATATAATTTCAAAATGATACTGGTGAGTTTTCAAGGTGTGATTGCAAGTATAGTATATCATTAAATATAGTATATTATAATATAGCATTTGTAAATTCTGAACGCTGATTGGCTAAGAGCCGTGTTGATATAACTCCATGTCAACACGGGAAATTTTCCGCCGCTTGTAAACACGGAAATTTTTTTTATTCTTCGGGCTTTTGACATTTCTATATTATAAAACAAATATAAAACATTTTTTCCGTATTGATATATCGTTATATCAACACTCGTGGAAGTTGGGAAAACTCGAAATTGTGTGAAAACACTCCGCCCTTCGGGCGTCGTGTTTCCACACAATTTCTCGTTTTCCCAATTTCCACTCGTGTTGATATAACTGTATATCAACACGGAAAATGTTTTATATTTGTTAAGTATATCAGTTTTCTTTACTTAACTACATGTATTTACAGTACAAATGTCATACCTTTATCACTTTAATTCTTAACCCATTAAGTTGCATTGCGCCCTAATCCGTCATTGCGCTCTAATCCGTCATTGCGCCCTATTGAACCCCACTTTATTATTTTACTCAGTCTAATGCGAGACTATTTTACTTGTTAAGGGGAGAGCACTGGCACAAAATGGGTTAATTATTAAAATAAATATATAATTTCAAAATGCACTTTCCAATGGAATAATAGCGTTTCTGTCTATTAACACAACTATATTGTTACTTGTAATGTAGTGTTTTTGGTGTCAATCCACTGAAGAATGTATAAAGAAAGACGGGGTTCTCCCCAAAGGATGTAAATCAGTAGACTGGAGATATTTTGATAACTGTACAGGTGTGTTTTCAACTGAATGTCATTTTCAGTCTCATCTACAATATACATGTAGGAGTCTCACTTTTCACTATTGTCTAAATGTGGGCAGGCTGGTTTTTTAAACCACTTTAAAAATTAAAGGTTTGAAACGCAATTTGAATTCATAGGATGCAAATTTGGAAGGTGTTTTGTGAACTATCAAAGTACCGGACAATTTGATGTACATCACCCAAACTACTCATCCTAATATAAAAGTTGCCACAAATGTTGTGGAATACTCAGTTTAGTGAACATTTTGGAACAGTACACATTTTTACACCCAGTATTAGCGCGTTTCAGGGCCATCTACCTGCCAATTACCATGCAGAATGGGCAAATACACACTTCCATGCTGTATGCTTGTGGTTATGACTAAACACACTCGTATTTCACACTGACATTACAATGAGTTATTACAAAGACTATTGGGGGTATTTAAAGCTATATTTTGACATCAATACAGTTGCCACTACATACAGGACAGTATAGATATATACATAACATAAACACATCACAGATGCCTTTACCGATTTCCACAAACTAGATTTTAGTAACTTTTTACAACGTAAACAGGAGCAAATTCTTTATTCTGTCTGTTAATTTAAGTGGAAACATTTTATTTTGTGAACCTACACGGTTTATATAAATAATCAACCCATGACCATGCTCCTATTATTTTTCCATGTTTTCCAGTTTTGGCTGTGGCTAATGGACCAACTCAGGCTTCTACAGCAGCTAAGACTCTGATGTGAAGCTCAATATACCTAGAATTTCTCTGACCATTTCTGTAACTATTTTCTGTCACTTTTGCAGTGCCTGGCTATGTGTGGGTGATTGTGATACCTGTTCTGGGCTGCGTGATCCTTATCGCCATATGCTGTGGCTTTTATTGTTGCTGCTGTAGATGCAAACCAAGCAAAAGAGGGTAAAACATTTTGTTTGAGCGTTTTGTAACATACAGTACAGTACAATACAGTATAGTACAGTGTGCAGTACAGTGTGCAGTACAGTGTGCAGTACAGTATGCAGTACAGTGTGCAGTACAGTGTGCAGTACAGTGTGCAGTACAGTGTGCAGTACAGTACAAGAAAACAAAGTAATAAATGCATGATGTCCTAGACTACACCTCATACGTGAACACGGTATGGCTTTCCTTCATATTTTTCCTAATAAACACTTCTAGACGTCCGACGTCTTGTCGTCGTCTTAAGGCCCATACAGACCGGACGCGATTTGGCAACGCGACGCGAATTTTCAATTTTCAATGACATTTAACAATTATTGAATGAGGTTGAGCACGATATGAAGAATTATCAAGCCCGAAGTTTGCCGTTATCAACCGAAGCCGAAGGCTGAGGTTGATAACGGCAAACTGAGGGCTTATTTAAAAAATTCAAAACAAACATTTGTATTTTATTTGTATTAAGAAAAAAACAATTCCTTAGTCCTTCGGCAGCCGTCGTCGTCGTCATATCAATGGCGTCAGCGAGTCAATATGATTCTCGTCGTCATAGTAATATGGCGCAAACGCGTCCAAATTTTTTTCATATTGACTCTTTGAGGTCATTTTGCTAATACGAATATGAAAAATCCATATTTGGTTAGCCATTGAGTTGATATGACAATTTCACATTTGGCTGTTAGCCAATCAGAAACCAGGAATTTTTTAAATAAATAATAATTAACTTTAATAACCGCCCGCCACGCCATGCATGATTTGCAATCGCAAACCACTCGCTGAAACACTCGCCGGTTCCCAGCCAGAGGCAGTCACCCCCTGAAACCATTCAAATTGGCCGGTGTTGTGCACATACATATGACGCTTACTATAAAAACAATAGAGTTGATGTTCGCGGGCATAGCTAAATATATTTTTGGCCCGACTCAAACTCATTTTAGCCCGAGCGTGGCGAGGTCAGTTAAAATGAGTTCTGAGGAGGGCCAAGAATACATTTATGCCCAAGAACATCAACTGTACAGTATTACTATTATACTGTCATAGTTTTACAGGGCGAGTACAATACAACAGATAACAAAATAGACGGCAAACAATTCTAAAATGCCGCCTTCACGCTACCATTTACTGTATTTCGTTGTCTTAAGTGCAAACTCGGTTTTTATGAGCAGAAAAACCCTAAACAGTTCAAACGACAAAAAGAAGAATAAAAAAATAGTTTACAGAATTTATGAAGTGATAGTTTTGTATAAAACAAAGCTAGTTTCGTTTGTTAAAGATTAAACTATGGATAAACTTACATTCACACTGCCAGTCTGTCACTGTCTATATGAAATGATTTCTGCCACAACGTCAACAATCAACATGATGAATTGTTTTTCGATGTTTTCGGGAATGGATTCTAGCTCATTTGATTTTGGAAAATTGCTATCTCTTCTCTTTTTTATTCTTACAGTCATTTCATGGATGAAAAGAAAAAATACTTACCCAGAGCATGCTAAAACATTGTTAAAAACGACTGGCGGCATGTAAACAATGTCAATGCCGGCATGTAAACAATGTCATTTTAGCCCGCAAAGTACGTCACAACGCCCGCTAAAGTTACTATAATAAAGATCTTATTTCGAATAAAATAAGACGAACAACAAGTAGCTATCTGTATATACTACATGCTATATTTGTCAGTTCGCTCGCAAGATGAACATGTGTTCTTCTGAGTCCGTATGAAACAATTTCAGCGGTATCATATATAAACACCCGGCTTGAGGATATAGATTCATATCTCGCTCTTTATGTGTTAGGGTCAGCGGTTATGGCCAGGGTAAGGATTAGGATCAGCATTCAGAAACAGCGAGACATGAATCTATAACCCGGCTTGTATGGCTTAGGTGTTCATGGGGGGCGAGTGCCTCTCGTATAAGCAATGGCAAGTGCTTTGCGATTGCGAGTCAGAGTCGGTCCGATCTGTATCGTCTCTGTGGCTTCAGCAAGCCTCGTTTTTGACAGCCATGTTTCTGATGCCACGTTTTTGACAGCCACGTATGCCAACTGGCCGAAATTCAATCGAGCCGTTATTGATAGCGACTGATAGCGACAGCCGTTCTTGTTTGAAATCACGAACGTGAACTGCATTGATTGCCGTTTTCTTGATTTCAAAGAAGAACTGCTGACCCCATCACTTGCCATCTGTAACGGCTTGATTCCTCAGTTGGCATACGTGTTGTCAAAACGTCGCTTGCTTCGAGGCTTGTTTATAGGGCCCTAACATAAAATAAATGATGATCGTCGTGTCATTCGTGTGCGCTTATTTCAAAGCGTTGTCAAAGCACTAACACTGGACGAAAAATGTCTTTAAATCTGCTAAAATATTGCTACAATTAAGGGCCATCTTGATTGTAAACAGTATATATCACACCATCTCACCAAACGCTATATATATTTTTTATTGCATACTCTATCATTACACGATTTCAGAGCACAAAATGAAGAAACAAAGTTTCATCGTAAACGGTTTGAGCTGAAGGCTAAGCATGACGAAAGGTAAATAATGAAGGAAAAGACTCTCTACCTTACATTGGTAATTTGTTTTGACGTCCGATGTCAAGCGACTATATATTATTTGCTGCAATAAAATTACAGAAGACGTAAGATAAAGGTTTCGCCTATGAATCAATAACTGTATAATGGTATATATATATACTGTAGTGTAGGTATAGGACGTGGTTACTTTATGTGAAAATGTAAAAGTACATGCAGCAGTACATGTATGGAATGTAGTATAAAGTTTATGCGTGTTTAACTTGTTTATGTAATACTGAGTTGTCAAATTTACCACCTATATAATAAATATATTTTAGCGACATGCATACATGGTTCATTTCAGCCGAGAAAATCGAAGCTATTAAATTTATGTAAACCAGGACGAAATCTTTATCCGATTTATTTTCTTCATTCTTACAGACGGGCCGAAAGAAAATTGAAGACTGACGAAATTCGCAAGAAATATGGTAAGAAATGAATTTAACAGAATGTGATGTTAAAACATAATTGTCTAATGCACGAAATAAGAGCCGAATTTTTGACTGATACAGTGATAGTTACAAACCAACTTTCTCATGTGATATATAGTACTGTGCGCCGGAGCCGGAGTTTTGGACTTTTGCTGGAGCAGGAATTTGTTCAAATCCGGCAGCACTTATTTGTGCAAACTACTGTCGGACATCGGTGAAAAACCTGAATCCATCGACAAAGTAAATACTTGCATTGATACTGCGTAGGCTTGCCACAAACATAGTACGAAATGTTCATGCGAAGTGTTAAAATAAAAAACAAAGATAGTGCTTCCACTTTCAAATATGATTTCCATTAAATTTCGACGGCCCTGGAAATTTTCTTGTCGGAGGCGGAGTTTTTTTCCTGGATCCAGAGTTTTTTGGCCGGAACCGAAGGTGAAAAACCCAGAGTTTGCACAGCACTAATGTGATATACATATATAGGTTACTGTACATACTGTATACAGCATAATATAAAGAAAAACTGTTTTATTTATGTCTTCATTTTCTCTTACCCACTCAGGCTTGGATAAAAATGATGCAAGTAGTTCAAGCAGATACCAGCAATTTGAAAATGATCCTGAGGTTTAACGCACGTCCTCTGGTAAAAACACTGTATACCCATACCGATAACCTCATGTAGTATGCATCAATATATTGTAATTAAATGTATCATTGTAGTATACCTTTATAATTTCTTTAAACATTTTAATATCCAGTAGCATTTCGCCAGATTGATTAATTGGATTACTTTTTTGCATGATATATACATTCTGGTTACTTGTAGTAATGGTAGATTTTCAATTTACAAGTTTTAACCGTGTCGTTGTCAGTTTCCTTGCGGTACCTCGATATAATATAGGAGACCTTTACATAATCAAACGTTGATATCCAACTGAAGTGGTTGCACATAGATTATTATAATTGACGATTTTGTTATAATTGACTGATTTATTGCAAACTGTATAAAACCACCTGAATTCTTTACATTCAGGAGAAAATTCCATGTTTAAGAAAGTGTTAAAGCCAGGGCATTTTTTGACTATATAACTACTGGGGCATTTACCCCAATAGGCCCTTTGCTTGCCCCAGTAGTGAAGCAATATTTTCAGATAAGCAATATTTTCAGATAAGATTGATCATTAGTAAAAAGTCATCCTTGTTGAAAAAGCTGCTTTCTCATATCCTCTCACATTTTCGACATTTCATCTTATAAAAGTCAGGACAGCATGGTCCTTTATGTACGCGTAACTGTGTGAGGAAAAAAGGCCCTCGTTGAGATTTAGCCCCAGTAGTTGTAATTTCTTAAAAAATGCCCTGGTTAAAGCCCAGACAAACGAGGACGAGAGTTGCCACTCTCGCTTATGTTTGACCAACAACTCTCTTCGACCCTCGCTCGTGGTTCAAATTTTGATTGGAGTTGATGAGGATTTTCGCTACGTGCTCAGTAATATCCAGTCAACTCTCACGCAATGCCTGTTCTCGTGTGACCCGGGGCACGAGAGTTGAGAAAATTCTCTCGCTTGCCAACTCTCATCCTCGTTTCACCAGGGCTTTAGCGATAAGTAATACGAGCAACAAAAAATTCCCAAACCCGCAACAACAACTGATTTTCATCCATGCATGTAAAAATTTTCCGGGACTTTCAACGCATTTTCGTAAACGTTTCCAGCTAAAATGCGTTGAAATGAGTTTTTGTTGGAAGCTGCAGGAATCTTGTTGCTCGTATTACTTCACGTTTAAACTATAACAAACAATAAGTTACGAAAGTCAACATGAAAGCATGAACTTATGTCTGTTGTGTATTTCTGTGTGTGACCTACATACATGTACAACTGGATGTCAACTATTTTTATCTAGTTCAATAGTTTTATAATTTTGCAGTAGCTGAAATTTAATCAATTTAGTTTTAACGATTGTTTCCACAATGTTCGGTGACAGGAATATTGCTAGAAGTAGAATTTGTGATTAAAAGATACATAAGTTAAAAGTTGTAGTCTGTACAGTTTTATCAATTCACCAATGGATGGATCGTTTTTACTTCTAAGCAGATCACGTGACGGAAGACGTTTATTTTAACAAGTTTACCACTACCGCTACTGACTCGTCCCCAATCGCTCATCCAGCGTTGAATGATGAGAATGCATTTAGAGCATTCCCAAGGGCCTTTGTATCCTATTGTTTCAACCTTTTCTAAGCGAATTTGAGGGACTATGGAAGAATCACAGGGGGCAGAGAAGCGCAATGTGTTTAAATTACTTTGTCAACATCTAGCAATTTTTAATACATATTTATTCAACGTTGAACATTTCTTCTGCACTTCATGTAAATCAAGCATTATATTGCACCACTGGCCATATTACCGTGGGTTCATAGCGAAACGACGGATGTGATTACAATAATATCGTAATGTTTCATTTACATGAAGTAGAATACATGATTGCGTAAAACCAATGAAATGAATATAACTGGAAAACGCTAGATAAACTGCCTGACGTGCGTGTCTGTGGGTCAAGACCCGCGTGTTTATTTTTCGCGATTCTTTCACGAGACCAGTTCAGGGATATAGCATGCCGCTATTATTAGAAAAAAAATAAGAAAAAAACCTAAAAATACAGTCTACTAGCAAATTAGCAATTTTACCTGAGTAAATGGACTAATAGAAAGCTTTGAGCGGCGTGGTAAATCCTTTTTGTAAATTTTAAACCGCGCTCTTCGAATGCATGAAAAGACTGGGACTAGCCTTCAAGTTTGGCTTCAATCTCGTTCCCCGAGCATGCCCGTTCGCAGGTTAATGGTGGCCCCTTAACCTGCGAACGGGCATGCTCGGGGAACGAGATTGGTTTTGATTGGTTTGGCTTCAAACATTCTCGTACCCAGAGCCCTTCTTACACGCGGTCAACGGAGCGCGACGAGGGGCTCTGGCCAAATCCATATCTAACTGGCATCTGATTGGCTACAACGAAGCTTATTCTTCTAATACCGGATATACTCTTTCACCATGTTTTTATGGTATCCGGTTTTGGATTTGGCCAGAGCCCCCCGTCGCACCGCGCGTAAGAAGGGCTCTGGGTACGAGAATGGGCTTCAAACTGTTCCAATCAATCTACAATCTCGTTCCCCGAGCCTGCGATCCTCGGGAAGGAACGCGAGGCTCTGGGATAATCCGTTGCCGGAAACCAGGAATCCTGGCTAAGATTGAACTACGCATTTCATTTCAACGGCCAATCAGATTCCTCCCTGAAACGGATTATCCCAGAGCCTCATGCACGTTCCTTCCCGAGGATCGCAGGCTCGGGGAACGAGATTGATCAATCTAGTACAGGGAAATACAGGCACCTACTGGGGTCTTGAAAAGGACGACGAATGAGCAACATCTGATGGGGTCCAGGCCCGGTGATGGATGGATCAAGATTTGGGTGGGTAATTAATCTTCTCCCCAAAATCTTCTCCCCCCAAAAAATTCCGGACATACCCAGAGCTGCCAAGTCTCACAGTTTACCCGTGAGTCTCCAGGTTTTCGCGCTGACCTCCAGGTCTCACGGTGGGTGTTGAAAATCTCACGGAAAATCTCTATGCATGGATTCTGCATCTATGCTCTGAAAAAAACGCATATATAGCAATCTGGTTCTCCGAGCATGCCCGGTCAACAATAATATAAAGTCAACAATTTATACATAATTTGATTAAAATTTTTCAGTATTAAATATTGCCTGCGCTACTCTGTCTGGCTATCGCTGCAAGGGGGGGGGGGTACGAACTACGAACTAAAGGCCCCAGCAACCTCCAGGTTTTTAATCATCTCAACTTGGCAGCTCTGAATACCATTTTACAGTGACTTTAGAATTACTGTACCGTAATTTGTTAATTCATAGTCCTAATAATCGACTAATAATCCTAACCTCTAACCCTAATCTAATCTTTTCCCTAATCTAATATTAATCTGACAAGAAATCATCAAATCACAGAATAGAAAATACAAAATACACCATATAATATAAAATATAATATATAAAAAATAGTTTGCTATAAAAAATAGTTTTCTATGCAATACATCGCGCAATCTAACCCATTCCGATCCGTATTGCTACTAGACTAATTAGTTGATTTTTTATTTTTAAAATTTTTTTTTCGTCTGTAATTTGTCACTAATGCTAAACTAAAAGGGCCACAGCCACAGTAATCGGTATAAACTGTTGGGGTGTCCCTGCCTCTTGTTCTGTTTCATGTATATGAATTGTTGTACTTGTATTGTGTATGTTTTTTGTCAAGGCGAAGCTAAATAAATAAATAAATAAATAAATAAATAAATAAATAAATAAATAAATAAATAAATAAATAAATAAATAAATAAATAAATAAATAAATAAACAAACAAACAAACAAACAAACAAACAAACAAACAAACAAACAAACAAACAAACAAACAAACAAACAAACAAACAAACAAACAACAAACAAACAAGCAAACAAACAAACAAGCAAACAAGCAAACAAGCAAACAAGCAAACAAGCAAACAAGCAAACAAGCAAACAAGCAAACAAGCAAACAAACAAGCAAACAAGCAAACAAGCAAACAAACAAACAAGCAAACAAACAAACAAACAAACAAACAAACAAACAAACAAACAAACAAACAAACAAACAAACAAACAAACAAACAAACAAACAAACAAACAAACAAACAAAACAAACAAACAAACAAACAAACAAACAAACAAACAAACAAACAAACAAACAAACAAACAAACAAACAAAACAAACAAACAAACAAACAAACAAACAAACAAACAAACAAACAAACAAACAAACAAACAAACAAACAAACAAACAAACAAACAAACAAATAAATAAATAAATAAATAAATAAATAAGTAAATAAATATTCTGTACCGGCAGAAACGGGCAAACGGCATGCCCTGCCTTAAGGCCGTTTTCCACTAGGCGAATTTTTTCGCCGACCAATCACGTTGCCGGATTTCGGTTTTCGCTTCGCGTCGCGCGAAAAAATTCGCCTAG